AGCCTCATTAAAAGCTTGAGGGATGGAATCCAAGAGCAGGTCACAGGAGCCCCGGCGCTGGGCATGGCCCCCAGTTGTGCCAGCAGCTCACCGAGCCAGGGCAGAGCTCTGCTTTAGAGGCTGGTAAGTAGGTCAGCGAGGACCTGTGTGTGTGTGTGTGTGTGTGTGTGTGTGTGTGTGTGTGTGTGTGTTGGGGGGGGGTCCCCGTATTTGCTGAGCTCTCCCAGGCACCAGCCGCCAGCCCCTCCATGCCAGGCTCTGCCAGGGGTGAGTCATTTGCCAAAGTAGATCCCTCCCAAGCCCCTGACAACCTTTGCTCAGGTGGCCTCTTCCCTTCTCACTGCCCACTGGGGCTCAGGAAAAATGGCATCGGTCCCCAAGGGAGACGGTCCTGGGTTCAAATACTGACTTTGCCATGGAATTGCTGAAGGGCATCAGGCCTGTCCGCCTCAGTTTCCCCATCCGTGACGGGGGGGCTGTGCAGACCCAATGAGGCAACGCCTGGCCCAGCATCAGACACCGAGCTAGGCGCACGGCATGTGGGTGCGATGCTCCAGCGCTGTAACCACAGGGAGGCCTCTGACAGCCTCGCCCTCCGCCTAAGCCCCCCGCGGCTGTCAGCCGTGAGCCCAGCTGCACGGTGTCTGTCACCACACCACCCACAGGCTGCCGCCCCCACGCTGTTCCCAGCCGCAGGGACCTGCTGAGTCAGACTGCGACCCCCTCCATCCTGTCAGCCACCACTGCCCGCCCCCTCCGCCCGGATCTCCCCCCACATGGGCATTTTATTTTTTTATTTTATTTTATTTTTATATATTTTATTGACTTTTTACAGAGAGGAAGGGAGAGGATAGAGAGTTAGAAACATCGATGAGAGAGAAACATCGATCAGCTGCCTCCTGCACACCTCCTACTGGGGATGTGCCCACAACCAAGGTACATGCCCTTGACCAGAATCGAACCTGGGACCCTTCAGTCTGCAGGCCGACTCTCTATCCACTGAGCCACACCGATTAGGGCTGGGCATTTTAAATATACGTCTCGCAGCCCCATTTCTGCTTTAGCAAACTGAGGTCCGGGGGGCATGGTCTGCCCCAATGTATACAAGGAACCAGTTGTGGACCTGGGACTAGACTCAGGTGTGCGGACACCCACCCAGAACACCCCGGTGGGCTTCGGGGGAGGTTATGCCTCAGAGGCGCCTGCAGGGTGCCCATCAGGTGCAGCTCACCCCTCGGCCCACCCACCTTGGTCTTCCCAGGCCTCAGACACCATCAGTCCACCTAACAGTGGCCATCAGGCCTGGGGCGCTCACTGTGCCAGCACCGTGTTCAGTGCTTGGGGATTTTCCGATTTTCCTCCTATTTCTCATGAGTGGCTCCTCCTCCACACGCTTGCCTGCCCAGCACCCCTGGACCTGCCCTGGCAGCATCCAGCATCGTCCCGCCAGCAGCACTGTCCTGCCGGCCGGCCCTTTCCCCAGGACTCCGGCTCACACAGCACGCCAGTCTCACTGTCACTACCCCTCAGCGCTGCCCCGTGGCCTCCCACTGCCCCAGGCCAGGTCCCAGCTCCCTCAGCCTGGCCCTGTGGCCACCCACATGCCCCCCATACGCAGCCTACAAGACAACCCCCCAGAGACGGTGGGAGACTCCAGGTCCTACAGGGCCTGCACTCCCCACCTGTCTTGCCCACAGGCATGCACGTCTCTGACATTTTACCTCTGCCTGCAAGGTCCTTCCTCTCCCTCATGTGAGGCCTGAAGGCAGCCTCAGGGGCCTTCGGCCTGGGGCAGCCGTGGGCAAACTACTGCCCACGGGCCGGATCTGGCCCGTTTGAATTGAATAAAACTAAAAAAAAAAAAAAAGACCGTACCCTTTTATGTAATGATGTTTACTTTGAATTTATATTAGTTCACACAAACACTCCATTCATGCTTTTGTTCCGGCCCTCCGGTCCAGTTTAAGAACCCATTGTGGCCCTCTAGTCAAAAAGTTTGCCCACCCCTGGCCTGGGGCTAGAGGGGCGAAGGGGTGTGTGTGTGTGTGTGTGTGTGTGTGTGTGTGTGTGTGTGTGTGGTGTGTCCTGCTTTCTTTTCACACAGAGGCTCCAGGACAGGGACTGCACCATGTCCTGGTTGTGGGGGGACAGGCAACATCAGAGCGGACAGCTTTCTGCTACCACTCACACCTAACCCTGCACTTTCCTAGACTCCTCACACCCACCTCTTTGTCCATACCATTTTTCCTACACAGAGAGCCCCCCCACCCCACCCCCTAGACAGAGCCGGGTCTGCAGCCTCCTCTCCCCGGAGGGGCCCAGGCTGAAGGTCACCACCACAGAGGAGCGAGAAGGCAGGAGCGCCCGCACTCTGGCTCCTTTGCCACTGGGAAGGCTTTGTAGGCTGACAGCAGAGTTCCCTTCTCGACATGAGGGATGTAGACTCAACCTCAGGCCCCAGGAGGAACAGTGAGCAGCTGTGGCCACAGAGCGAGTCAGGGATGGAGTGACCTGGGGTCAGCAGGCCATTGGGGAGCAGCCTGAGCTGGGGCTAGAAGCGGGGGTATGAGCAGCTGCAGTATGTCTGGCATCTGCGCCTGACTCGAAACCTCTCAGACAATTAATGCCATCTCATTGGCTCCCACAGATGAGAAGTGGGCATCCCCACAGTGGGTGGCCTGGGAAGAGTGGAAGGTCAAGGTCAGGCCAGTGGCCTAGGGAGGCCCAGCCAGGCACAGGATTCAGGGCCCTGAGCCTGGGGTGGTGGTCTGAGGGGGTTCCTCCCACCCTCCCCAGCACCTCCTTGTCACTTTCTCAGACTTTTCCCAATCCTCTAGACCAGTGGTTCCCAACCTTCCTATGTTGTGGTGACCCCCAACCATAAAATTATTTTCGTTGCTACTTCATAACTGTAATGTTGCTACTGCTATGAATCATCATGTAAATATCTGATATGCAGGATGTATTCAGGCGACCCCTGTGAAAGGGCCGTCTGACCCCCAAAGGGGTCGCGACCCACAGGTTGAGAAGCGCTGCTCTAGGCTCAGGGCTAGTTTCACCTCCTCCAGGAAGCTCTCCAGGATTAGTCCATCCTATCTCAGGACATCATAGCTTAGAGTAGAACTGTCACAATTTCATTTCCCCCACCCAAATTGGAGCTGCTGGGACCCTGCTCCCACATCCTTCCCATAACGTAGCCGAGTTGTGGGCTCCGTAATCTCAAGCAAGCCCACTCCCTCCTGCTCTCTGCTGTCCGTCAGCTTGGGGAGTGGCTGGGCCTCAGGAGGGTTCGATAAATGTCATCTGGATTGACATGTCTGAAAAAGGCCCCAGGCCATGGGGTATTCTAGAGCTGGGAGGCAGGACAAGAGGCCTGAGCTGGACCCTCGTTTCCACTACTTGCTTGTAACCCTGGACGGTCACAGCTCCTCTGGGCCTCAGTTACCTCCTCCACACTGGGCGGGTGGGGTGGGGGTGGGGGGTGGGGGGAGGGGGAGAACCAGAATCTAAGATCTTCTCCGGACATTCTTGGTGATGGAGGGTCAAAGCCATAAGCTATGAAGAGGGAGAGCCTCTCTGACACCATATAAAACTGAAAATAAAAGTGTAAACTGTAATATAAGGAAAAGAAAGTCCAACCAAGTTCTGACCTTTCCATGGCTTTGATGTTTTCGTAATACTGTATTAAAACATGTCCCAAAATACTTGCTTCGCTGGTGCCTTGCACAGGCTTGGCCTGCTTCTGGGTGCTCGGCCCGTGGTGGGCGCTCATCCTGAGCCCCTCCAAGCGTGGACTCAGCACTCAGACACTGGGGCTCACTTGCAGCCCCGGCCGGTCCCTCAGGGGGAACTGCTTCTGCCTGGTGTCCATCTCATTCTCCTGTCAAGCTGCTGCCCAGAGCAGGAGACCCCAGGATGCCCGCCCGATCACCAGGCAGGACCACCCCAGCCTCACGCGTGGCCCGAGCAGTCTCCAGGGGCTGACTGTGCTCAGTCCCATCCCTGCGGCCTGCGGGCAGGTGCAGGCTCAGGGCTCGGCTTGCCCCAGGTGGCTTCCCTGGGAGGCTTAAAGGCCAGAACGGGACTTCCAGGGAGTGGGAAGAGGAAGTCCCGCTCCCCCACCACGCACACATGCTCCCATCCTGGCCCCAACAGCAGTTACAGGAAGGTGACTCCCCAATGCAGTCAGCTCTGCCATGCAGACACGACCCCAGTCTCTGGTCAACACATCCTCACAGGGCCCTCACCTCACCAGCGGAACCCCTGGTCTGTAGATGGGTGCTCTGCTGGGGGAAGGGAGGTACCTGACAGTGCCTCCACTCTGAGACCAAACTCGGCCCAGACCCGAGGACCTGCCCAGAGTCGGTGCCATAGGGAGAAGGCCTGCGGGGGGGAGGGAGGCTGGGTGGGGAGAGGGGCTGGGTGGGGAGAGGGGCTGGTGGGGAGAGGGGCTGGTGGGGAGAGGGGCCGGGTGGGGAGAGGCTGGGTGGGGAGAGGGGCTGGGTGAAGAGGGAGGCTGGGTGGGGAGGGAGGCTGGGTGGGAGGGAGACTGGGTGGGGAGAGGGGCTGGGTGGGAAGGGAGGCTGGGTGGGGAGAGGGGCTGGGTGGGGAGGGAGGTGGGTGGGGAGAGGGGCTGGGTAGGGACGGAGGCTGGGTGGGGAGGGAGGCTGAGTGGGGTGAGGGGCTGGGTGGGGAGAGGGCCTGGGTGGGGAGAGGCTGGGTGGGGAGGGAGCCTGGGTGGGGACAGGCTGGGTGGAAAAGGGACGGGGCAGCAGAGCTCTGGAGTCCGAAGCCACAGGCTGTCAGCACTGCCCCTGAGCCCCCAGTGTCCTACAGAGGAAGCCGGGGACCCTCACCCTCGGAGGAAGAGCATCTCCATGGAGACAGTCTCCCACTTTCTCCAGCCCCTGGCTCTGACTTAGCCCATCAGACAGAGGACAGAGGACAGACAGGCTGCAGAGGGCACAGCAGCCCTCCGGGCAGGGGCGAGGCTGACTTACTGGTCACGCAGAGCAGAGTGCGGAGGAGCCACATCCTAGCTGAGGCTGCGGCGCGGAGTGTGCCTGGGCCAGCTCAGCTTCCCCTCCTCGGCGGGGCGCCAGGAGGCGGGGACAGACACACAGACACAGGCAAGGACCCACAGGCAGACAGGTGTTTTCAAGCACACACAGGCGCTCCCACTGGTACCGGCTGGTGGCCTGGCTTCCTGGGCAGTGGTGGCTGAGTCCTGGGAGCTGAGACACACCTGTCACCACATTTCCTGCAGTGGTGAGCTGAGCCGAGGCCTGGAAACAGCTCCGGTGTCCTCAGCCAGGAGCAGTGCTCACCCGACTGCTGTTTATCATCCATGTGAGTCCCAGCCCCTGCCTCAGACACACCTCCAGGACACCTCAGCCCAGCACTCCCTCGGGGCCCTTGGTGATGGTTCCTGGGCGACAGGAAGTGCCTTCACAGCAAAGCTGGGCTCCTGCACCAGCCCCGCACTCCGGCCCTGGCCATGGAGGGCCAGGTGAGGGGAAAGATCCAGCCCCTGGCTGCAATCACTTCCTCAATTCAGCTGTGGCTGCTCTTTGCTAGTAAATTCTGGCCACCACGCCATGATGCCAGAGCAGTTCACCAGAGCGCTGGGCTGGCAGAACAGCACATGTAAGATCCCATCGATCCCCCAGCTCTCTGACCCGCCCCAGCACCCGGAGGACACAGCCAGCAGCCTGCAGTCACAGTTTAACGCCAACTCCAGGTTCTCCGTGTGACGTCTGTGGTCTGTTGTGGAAGGAAGCTTCTCGCCCCGAGTCCCAGGCTGCCGTGCGGAGCAGCGCTGTCCCCCGCGGCGTTCTGTGCTCAGTCCTATGGCCGTCACCAGCCACAGGTGGCACCTGAGCCCTGCCCCGTCACCAGTGCCACCAAGGACCGGACTTTTAAATTTTATTTAATTTTAATTAATTTACATTCAAAAAGGCAGGGGACTCGATATTTCTTCTCATAGGAAAGACTGTATCTCGAGGAAGAGTACTCTGAAGTGTGGATATAAGTGTTAAAGCACAGAGGACAATGGTGTTGACTTCATGACGGTGAAAATCAATTTTATTTAGTTTCTCACATTAAAAGCTCACTTTGCCAAAGTCTTGTAAAGTTTGGTGACACTTAAAACATTTTGCATTGTCTGCTTTGGTCTGACCAAACACCGACTAGTAAGATAGTTCCCTGATGTTACATGGCTATTACACAGATGACAATTCATCATTTTCACACCACAACCACATGCCATCAAACAAAGAAGTTAAACAGCTCAGAAAGCAAAGCTCCAGGTCTGATGATCTCCCTCCCGGACCACGATCAAGACCAGCCATCACAGCTCGGTCCCCAGTGTGGGGTGTGCAGGAGGCAGCCAATCAATGATTCTCTCTCATCACTGACGATTCTATCTCTTTCTCCCTCTCCCTTTCTCTCTGAAATCAATAAAAACATATTTTAAAAAAGAAAATGGAAAAATAAAAACAGTGGGAAACCACGTTATTGGGATAGTTGACAAAATTTAAATATGAACTACAGATTAGATACTACTGTAATGATTAGATAAAATTATACATTTATCAAATTACCCATGTGATAGGGGAGGCCTGGCCCGTCTCCACACCACAGTGCCCCTGCTTGGAGGATCAGGGGCACCTGGCAGAGCCACAGGAGGCCCCTCTGCACACCGAGCCGGAGCAGACCAGCAGCAGGGCAGGCTGGACCCCAGGACTGCAGCCTGCTCCAGACTTCTGGGAGGCAGGACTTCACATCTGCAGTGTGACCTTTGGGCACCGCAGGAGGCCAGGCGAGGTTTGTGCCTGGATGCTGGACCAGGCACAGGGCCGTTTTCTGCATCTTTGGTGATGTTTAGAATGAGGATTCATCCAAGCTTGCTGATGCCAGCATGGCAGAGCCCTAAGCATGAGCGTACACAGGGGCCCTTCAAACCCATCTGACAGCGTCGCTGTCCCCACAAACACAACTTAAGGTCCCAAGGACTGTGTACAAACCTGGCTGTTCAGCAAGTACATACGTATCCAAAAGGAATGTGAAAAAGACTTTAAACAACTGTTAGAGGGCCAACTCAAGGGATATTCCACAACACAAATGGACTGAACTCTTCAAATATATTAATATCATAAAAGACAAAGAAAGGCTAATGAATTGTTCCAGATTAAAGAAGAATAAATGTAGTGCACGACACTGGATTGCATCCGAGACCAAAAACAAAAACAATTTGCTTTAAAAAACATTATTAATTTAGCAAAACATACCATTCCTGGGAATGATAACCAGAAAGTCCAGTCTCTGGTTATGGGCAGAAAGATGAGAGGTGAAGGGTATGACTGTGGAGAGTTACACAGAAGGCATCAACTCTAGCTGAAATTTATTTTCATTGAAAGCATTGGGGCCTGGCTGGCATGGCTCAGTGGTTGAGTGTGACCTATGAACCAGGAGGTCACAGTTCGATTCCAGTCGAGGGCACATGCCCGAGTTGTGGCTTGGTCCCCAGTATGGGGCATGCAGGAGGCAGCCAATCAATGATTCTCTTTCATCATTGATGATTCTATTTCTTTCTCCTTCTCCCTCTGAAAGGGCAAGGACTACGCCCTCCATCTTACCCTGGGTCCTCCATTTTTGGGCAGAGCCATGTGCTCGGCAAGGCTTCTTCCCGGAAGCCCAAGCCTCTGCTGGCCACACCCAGGATTTCTCTGGACTAACCAATGATAATCAAGGGAAGTGCACACCATCAATATGACCACATCCTGTGTACCGACTTGCGCCTGGCCAATCGGCAGGACCCACAGTCACCTCTCCACCCCTTACTCCACCCCCCTATAAAACTCGTTCCATCGGGCTAGGCCTCTCTCTGCCACCTGCTGCTGTGTCAGTAAGGAGGGTGGGGGAGCCAGACCTAGGTTTGAAATAAAGGACTCTTTGCTTTTGCATCGGACTCACTGGCTCCCTGGTGGGCTCTTGGGAATCTTGAAATCTGGGCATAACATTTGGGGGCTCGTCCGGGATTCCCAAGACCATCGAGGGACCCCCGATCTGAAGAGTCTGACTGACCGCGGTAGGTGTCTGTGTTGTTGTGTGTTCTGTTCTGTGCGAGCTCGTTTCTGGAATCTGTAAGTGCCTGAGGGGTCTAGGTGGATGCACCGTGAAAGACCACAGGCGGGTGAGAGTTGGAAGACGTTCCGCTCCCCAGGAGGGATGAGTATGCCCCTCGCAGATCGGGGGAGAGCTGGAGGACGTTCCGCTCCCCAGGAGGGATGAGTATGCCCCTCGCGGATCGGGGGAGAGTTGGAGGACGTTCCGCTCCCCAGGAGGGATGGATATGCCCCTCACGAGGGATGAGTATGCCCCTCTCGGATTTGAGACGAGGCGGGTTGCTCCCGCCGGTTTGGCGTAAGGCCATTGTCTAGCTTTCGGGTTTGGCTTCCATGGAGTTGGAAGCCTGTTTTGGTTCTGCTTCCATGGAGTTGGAAGACTGTATTTTTGGGCCCGTTTGTTGTTTGTGTTTGTGTTTTTTCGGTTTTATTTTGTGGACTTACTGGACGGACATTATGAGACAGACTCAAACTACTCCTTTAAGCATTATGGTCGATCATTTTAAAGAGGTAAGGGAAAGAGCCAGCAACCTCAGTGCGGAAGTTCGGAAAGACCGGTGGCAGACTTTTTGTTCCAGGGAGTGGCCGACTTTTAACATCGGATGGCCGCCAGAGGGGACTTTTGACCTCCCCACCATCCGCCGGGTCAGGGATGTCGTCTCCAAACTTAGGGGGGGACATCCTGGTCAACTCTTTTACATTGTTACTTGGCAGGACCTCGTGGAAGACCCGCCATCTTGGCTCAGGCCCTTCCTACCTCCACGCCCTCCTGGGCCAAAGCCCATTCTTGCCTTGCAGAGAACGGAAAAGGAGGAGAAAAAGAAGAATCTCACCCAGCCTTCGGCCCCCCCACCCTGTCCTGCAGGGGGGAAATAAAGAACTAATCTTTCCTCCCCCATATAGCCCACGGGGGGGCGATCCTTCCACGCCAGGAGTGGCTGGGGGGCGGAGTTCTGGGAGTGGCTGGGGAGGAGTTCTGGGAGTGGCTGGGGGCGGAGTTCTGGGAGTGGCCACGGTTCCAGTAGGAGGCCCGCCTCTCACCCGGCAGAGAGCTCAGCGGGAACTGTCTGCCGCAGCACCCGACTCCACTATCAAGACCCTGACCTTCCGGGCCGCTGGACCCCGGGATGCAGACGGCAACCAGCCCCATCATTATTGGCCTTTCTCAACAAGCGATCTCTATAACTGGAAGGCACAAAACCCTAAGTTTTCTGAGAAGCCGGGGGACTTATTGACTTGCTAGATTCTGTTCTTTTCACCCATCAGCCCACATGGGACGACTGTCAGCAGCTTTTACAGGTTCTGTTCACGACGGAAGAGAGAGAAAGGATCCTCAATGAGGCCCGGAAAGTGGTTCCAGGTGTGGACGGAAACCCAACTGCCAACCAGTCCCAGATAGATGTCTCTTTTCCCTTAACTAGGCCTGAATGGGATTTCAACACGGCAGAAGGTAAGGAGAGGCTTTCGGTCTACCGCCAGACTCTAATGAGGGGTCTCAGAATGGCTGCTAGAAAGCCAACTAATTTGGCCAAGGTGGGGAATGTTCAGCAGGAAAGGGATGAGTCTCCAGCTGCCTTTTTAGAACGGATCATGGAGGCTTACCGCACCTACACCCCCATGAATCCAGAAGCTCCTGAAAACAAGGCAGCTGTGATCATAAGCTTTGTAAACCCATCAGCCATGGATATTAAAAAGAAACTACAAAAAGTAGATAGGTTGGGAGAGAAGAGTTTACAGGATTTACTGGCAGTGGCAGAGAAGGTGTACAATAACCGAGAGTCTCCAGAAGACAGGCAGGCTCGCGTTGTGGCTGCCACCAGCAGTAGGCAAGCTCGGGACCTGGCTAGGGTCCTGCTGGCTACGACCATGGACTCCCCCAAGGAGCAAGACCGTCACCTCCGACAGCTTGCAAGCAATAAAGGAAGAGGTAAGCAGACCACCTGAGAGGGGAGGCGGGGGCTGCAGAAGGGTCAGTGTAGATTTTGCATGGAAATAGGGCACTGGGCTCAAGAATGTCCGAAGAAGGCCGGTGAGAAGGGAGACAGGACTGACCGAGTTAAGGTCTTAGAGCTGGGTGAACTGAGTGATTAGGGGAGTCAGGGTTCGGACCCCCTCCCTGAGCCCAGGATAATTCAGAGTGGAGGGGACTCCTGTTAACTTCCTTGTTGACACCGGGGCACAACATTCGGTCCTCAGCACCCCGCAAGGAAAACTGGCGAACAAAAAGTCCTGGGTGCAAGGGGCAACTGGTATGAGCCAGTATTCATGGACTACCCGAAGAACAGTAGATTTAGGAATGGGCCGGGTATCCCACTCTTTCATGATGATACTGGAATGCCCCTACCCACTATTGGGACGGGACCTACTGACCAAAATTGGAGCTCAAATAACTTTCAGACAAGGGGGGCCTCAGGTCACCGATGGGAAGGGCC